AACCTTTCAGATTGTTCATGTAAATAATGGATTTCATGTTCTCTGAGCCAAAGAAGAAAAGGACCATCCAGACTGTTACCAGCGTAAAGGTCTAAATCCAGCACCTGTCATTATGTGGAGGGGTATTGGTGGGTAACCTGTGAAAGCACCATTAACACTGAACACATTTTGGAGAAACATATGCTGCCCTCTATATGCCATCTTTTTCATGGATGTCCATGACTATTTCAACCAGACAACACCAAGAAACATTCTGCACGTGTTGTAACTGCATGGCTGCATAATCAGAGAGTGCAGGTGTTAGAGTGGCCTGTCTGTCTCCCATTTACAAAAATGTGTGGAGCATTATTAGGCTCAAAACATGAGAATGTACAGCTAAAGTCTCATATAACTGAAGAAAACAAGCTGCTTTCAAAAGTGAATCAGCTTCCAATTCCCAAACGATTAAGTGCTGTTAAAGGACAGGTGATGTATCACAGTCGTAAACATGCTCCTGTCCCAATTTTTTGGATATGTTGCAGGCATTAAATTTAGAATGAGTGCATGTTTACAAAATACCATGAAGTTCATATGATAAAACCGATATCTTTTTAATTCAAATCAAACAGAATCTACTTATCACTGCTTTCTGTTTGTATTGGCATTTTATGCACTGACCCAACTTCTCTGGCCCTGTTTGGTGCACTGTAGCACATTACAAGAGTCACTTTTGATATGTAGATTTCTTGATTTTACCAATTGTTAGTTATTGTTTGCATGCATTTTTACCACTGGGTTAAAAATATTTACATACAATTTAACTTTTGAAGCTTCCGATCAGGTTCTATTTCACAATATAATAATAAGAATAATAATAATATCTTATTAATGAGTTACCGTATTGTAATTCATGTTTATAAATGCCTGTAAGTAATGCAAATACTCACTGAAGCATCAATATCACAATGTGTATGCAACTGGTAATGGGTCAACATTCTTAATTCTTATGATGTTATTGTTTGCTATCTGATCAGATTATGTGTTTCACCCTTTGAGTCCTAGTTTCTCTCAGTGATTCTCCCTCATGATCTTAGGAACATTCTCCTTTTGAGACTCGATTCCTCTCAGTGGTTGTTCCTCATGCTGTAAGGGAGGTTATTTTATATTGTGGTTTCTCTTTGTGGTTCCTACTCAGGTTTTTAGGAAATGTTCCTTTTCCTCATAAGTAACACATTTGTAAAGTATGTTCACGCTGAGTGTGTTTCAGGACCTTTGATGTCTGATTTTCTGTGTGAACACTTCAAATTAACCCAGACCCTCTAAACAGTCCCAAAAATAAACCAAACTTAAAACTCCTCTTCCGGTCTCAGTACAGTTTATTTGTGGTTTATTTTGTGGTCTGTGCAATTTGTTTCATGGTTGAAGATCCAGATCATATACCCACACTGGATCAAACAGAAAACCTAAGTCATTAAATGAAAGTACATTATATTTCACTGAATCACTGCAACCAGGAAATGATTTGCATATATTACATGTAGTTTGCTCCTTAGTTAATAAAGGGATAAGTTTTTAGTGCACAAGAAAACATTGTTTGTTGTAAACACTGACTGACAGCTACATAAAATGTAATTTAAAAGTTACCAAACAAATCTGCATTTGTAAAAAAAAATGTACGCATACTTGTAAGTGAAAGAGTGGTTGGTGCAGGTTGGTGCTGTTGAGTGAGTACTGAAAGGAAAGGCCTGAGGGGTGAGCAGGTACAGCAGGGCGGACTGACTGATACTGCAAATATCCCCCTGCAGCCCTGCCCCTCCCTGCACACTTCAGCATCTACTACCTGCCTCCTGCTTCATTCACACCTGTACATCTTACCACAGGTAAGCACATCTCTCATCCTTCTCTGTGCACAATTTTATTCCACATATTACACATTAAATTCTTCAATATTTAACTATTCTACTAGAATAACCAGAATAACTATTCTATACTGGTTACCTTTAGGTATATACTGTGTTTTGCAAGTTTGTATTTACTTTGATTTTTAAAGATGTACCATGTTGGAAGCAATAGTTACATGCAGACGTTACAATAAATGCAAACAAAATTTAAGTTTTGATGTACCTGGAAAATGACTGACACAAATACTGAAAATGAATGATACATAGACATTTTGAGGTCGTTTTTAACCTTTTACTGCATGGTGTTGCCATACGGCAACAAATTCACATTTTCAAATACTTTTCAGGACTACGATATAAAAATCACATTTTTTCAATTCTTTTGAGCAACGGAGGGCTTCATGTGTAACCTGGCATACTATATTTTCTAATCACATGGCCTCCTGTTGCAGTACTTCTTTTCTTCTTTATTAAAAAATGGTCAAATCACATGGTGAGGTTTAACTTGTTTCTCAACTTGTTATGTGTAATTTAATAATTATGCCCAACAAATTCAAGAAAATGTTTAAATACGATCTATGGGACTCTACAGCATAAAGAAAACATTACACATAAATAAAGCTTAGTTGATATAGGTTTTATATAAAGTGCTTAAATGTTATTGTTGGAAATGGAAATTGAAAAGTAAATTAAAACACTACTATAGCCCCTCATAACTTTTTCACATTCAAAGTTGATATTTTTATGTACATTTATCACACTTTTCTGCATTCTTTAAATATTTATACATACACTGGTGTTGTACAAGCTTTGTTGTGTCTGGATGTTGAAAGTGGCTTATATTGTACAAAATATTACAGTATTCTAAATTATTGCAGTTTCATTCTCACAAGTTGTTGCCATATGGCAACAAAATACAAAGTAAACCCTCCAAACTTTTTTTTCACTTTTTAAATCCTGAAAACATTTGTGTTTTCATAATGTTAGCAAGGACAAAATAGAGCCAGTATAATATTAGGAATGAAAAAAGATTTAGGAATAACTAAAGATCAAGATTAGTTAATGGGTCATGTTGACTAAGTAGTGGTGCATTTGCATAGCAAAAAAAGTCAATTTTCCAGTAGGCAGATTCATTATATTATACATACATACATCATCTAAACCGCTAATCCTTCTGGGTCGCGGTGGGGTGCTGGAGCCTATCCCAGCTGTCATTGGGCAGAAGGCAGGATACACCCTGGACAGGTTGCCAGTCCATCGCAGGGCAGACAGACAGACATACACATTCACACCTAGGGGCAATTTTAGCATGTCCAATTGGCCTGACTGCATATTTTTTTGGACTGTGGGAGGAAACCCACGCAGACACGGGGAGAACAGGCAAACTCCACACAGAAATGACCCTGGTCGCCTGGCTGGGAATCGAACCCAGGCCATTCTTGCTGTGAGGCAACAGCGCTACCCACTGCACCACCGTGCCGCCCTCATTATATTATATTATATTATATTATATTATATTATATTATATTATATTATATTTGGTTTTGCCTCTCTTGTAAATAACTGTTTTGAGAGTTGTTTATAACTAAGAATATTATTGTTATTATTATTATTATTATTATTATTATTATTGTCACAATCTGATCTTTTAATCTTAATCTATGTACTTTGTCTACGTACTATACTACACAGGTATGTGAAGTAAACTGTCATCACTGCAGTGCTGGGGTAAATGGAATTCAGAGGAGTAGAGCCTTTGACATTTATGATAATTACAGGGCAGGTGTTCAGTTGAGGGTTTAGGCTGAACCAGTTTAATGTAAAATATGAGAACTACGTAGCATCCACACTTAAGACATTTTTGCAGTTAAAGTGATATTCCTTTGCCGTAGCTGAGATATCTGTATATAATAGGGTCTGCATGGTCTAGAAACGATATATAAATTATACAAAATTACAAACACCCCCTTTCCGTATTTAATATATATGTGTACAGAACACACCATGTATTGAAGTGATGTTTTTGAGTTCACACCCGTCTGAGGGCTGGAAATTTTAATTTCCTGAAAGCAAGGAGGAACTGTATGCCTGTATTTATGACTGCATATGTATATATAAATATATACAGTCATAAATAGTCATACAGTACCTCCTTGCTTTCAGGAAATTTAAATTTCCAGCCCTCAGACGGGTGTGAACTCAAAAACATCACTTCATATTAATCAAATATATTTTAAAACACTTTTTTTTTCAAAATGTATGGGGAAATATTGCACATAGAAATGTAACAAACAAAAAATAAATGTATGCAAATGTGTTCATCAATTACATCTAAAAATGTATGAAAACTTCACTTCACTGTCTGATACCTTTAGAAATGAATTTGTGTTCCAGTATCTTCATTTTAAATCTGATCAAATGGTCCTTTAACAGGACAGAAGCGAGTGTTGTGGGTATTGATACTCTGTGAAAATGCAGTTATGATCTGATATCTTGTTTATGTGAAATTCATTGTGTGTGAGAGTCTGAATATATATATATATATATATATATTTGACACACAGATTCTAGATATTAACTGGATAAGTAAGGCCTTCAGCCTCATTAAACACACCCAATTTAATTAATCAATGAATTATTGTGGTCTTCAGGAGTGGAATCCAGAGCTTTGGCCTAGAAAGAACCCACTGTAACATGTCTGAACTACACTGCATTGTCAGTGATGATTTTTTTTTGTAGTCCAGGTTTATGATTAATCTTTCCCAGACGGGGACTAGGCCTAATCCTATGTAGTATTTTTTTTTATTTTGATATAGAATATCTATTCTGAATGCCGTGTAGTCCAGGCCTAGGCTTATTCCCTGCTGCGGAAACCAACCCAGTGACTAACTTAATGTGGCTAAAATTATTCAAATGAAGTAGAATGTAAATTGATCAAGGCTTCAATTTCATATTAATTAATTTATTCATTCTGCAAAATTTGATGGCACATTAATGTGAGATTTGCCCAAAGGGCTTTTTTGTATCTTTCTTTTTAAGGATTTGGTTTTTGTGCTAAATAAAACAGATCTGGGTGTTCAGTCCATTTATTTAAAAGGCTTCCTTACGTTTACATGCTCTCTCATGTTTCCTTTAGGATTAGTGAACAATGAGCTGGTGAGGGTACTGAAACCAAAATGAGAGGAAACATCAGCAGCAACAGAGCACTCATCCTTTCTGCTCTCTGGATAGGTGAGATACATCAGCCAACATTTTCACTTCATCGAACAGGGACAAATATGAAAATGTGCACTACATGTGCAGTAAAGCCGTCCCAGGTGGTACAAATCAGCAGAGCAAGGGAAAATCATTCAAGGATATTTGTCTTAGATGTAAAAATAAGAATGTAGAGACACACTGAATTATCAAGAATAGTAATGACATTTTTTCTGCCTAGGATGCTGGTCAGTTCTGGTCAGAGCACAGGTAAGACCATCTCTCTGTCTATATGTCTATCTGTCTTCACATAAAAATGCTCTTATTACAAGTTCATATACTTAACATAAGGAATAACTGAATAAGCCTCATATTTTTGTTGTGCTTTCTTTCAGTGCAATTCAACCACTGGCAATGGTAAGAGTAGTTAAACATTTATTAAAGCTACTAATACTGCTAAAACTGTTAGAACCCCCGCATGTTGGATTAATGATGGTTGATAATGTGTGAGAAATCAGTGAAAACATTTTCCCCAAATTTTTCAAAAATATTTGACATAAATTACATTCTGTAAAACCTAGATGACAAACTGTTTGCAGATTCATCTGGGGTGGGCGTAGGGGGGCATTTCATCCCAGGTAGAGGGGGCATCTTTCTGTTTTGTACTACAAAAACAGAATTGACTGCTACTCCAGTTTAACTGTGTGCAGATTTTTTCATCATCATCCAGTACTTGTTAGTAATGCACAGATATGGTTTAGCAAATGGACATTGGGCCTTTTAAAATGAGTTCTTGAGAAAGGTCCTAAGAAAAAGTCTACGTCAGATTCAGGACATACCACAGAACTGTTCTCACCTTTGTGCTTTTGAGTGTGTGTAGACTCTGTTCTTACAAATCCAAAATAAGAAAACATTAACCAGAATCTTTGTGAAAACCACGCAAGTGGGTTTTAAGAAATTTCAGTAACTCTTTCTATGAATACCATTTCTATAAAAACCTATAAACACATTCATAACAAGTTATAATGCACAATGCTATTTATAGCCATATAAACATGGCTATAAATATTTATAAAAACGCATTACACTTTATAGCCATGCTTATTATGCATTATGAATTGTTAACATAATGCATTTTAGGTAATCTTCATTATAAAATGTTATAAGTAAGTTGTAAGTTGTAAGTTGTATTTGTCAAAGTGAGACATATTTTATATTAAAGTCTCCTCCAGTATTAAGAGTGAGGCTTCAAGCTGAAATTTGTACTGAAGGATTTACTGAAACCACATTAAAAACTTCAAACATCAGATTTTAATCTAGTGCTGCAATCAGTAGCATTTTACCCAACGTGGGAAAGTCAATGTACACCAGTGTTTTACCCAACTTAACACTGCACATCCAACAGAATGCTAGCAGAAATTAGCATTACTGTAATGTAATGTGGTGACGTTAGAAAGTGAAGGTTTCTAGTGGTTGATGTTAGACCCAGTGAGGGAGTGTGATGTCAGAGGGGGTTTCAGGGGAGGGGCCTGATGAGTACTTGGATTGCTGTGAGGTCATTTTTAAAGTGAGAGTGCTGGTTTAGCAAAGTCCAGCTCTAATAACAGCTGTGGTGAGAAATAAAATAATGGAAATGCCATGGTATAAATAAATGTATTTTTCTCACTTTACAAAACTGGGACTTACTTTTTTGCCAATAACAATATAACATGTTATGAACACTAATGCATTATGTTAAACATGGCTATAAAGTGTAATACGTTTTTATAAATATTTATAGCCATGCTGATAATGTCACACTCTGTTATGAATGTGTTTATTGATATTCACAGATATGGTATTCACAGAAAGTGTTGCTGAAATTTCTTCTAAAGAACAGGCGTACAGATTATTTTCTGGTGTACAGATCATGTTTCAGCATTGAGGACTTACCCTTTGTTAAGTCCCACCCCTTGTGTTTACTGTTGCTATGTCTGACAAACTTTGAGCCTGGTATGCCATGCTGAAGGCTGTGATCACCACAGCAATAAAATCATAATCAATCTACATAGATGACAGGGAAATAAACCAACTACATAGTTTCTTTACTACAGAGTAGGTATAATATTAAGAACAGCTTGTTTAACTTTTAGGTCACTATAATTTAATTGGCCCCAAATCTCAGAGACATCAAACATGAAGTAGCTTGATCAACAATAGGTATTACTATATTATTGTGTCCCTGCGATGGACTAGTGACCTGTCCAGGGTGTATCCTGCCTTCCACCCAATGACTGCTGGGATGGGCTCCAGCACCCCCTGCGACCAAGAAGGATAAGCGGCTTAGAAGATGTGTGTGTGTGTGTGTGTGTGTGTATTATTGTGAAGTAGCTTACAGCTTAAGTAGCTTAAACAATGGAATGCATTTGTAATACTTGAAAAAAATTATTTACAGCCACCTCAGGGCCAGACACATGCAGTACGGCGAACAGGTGTGTGATCTTTATTTCCAAGCCATTCAATAATACTGAGAGATATTTAGTGGTATTGCATAATAATTTTTTCATTTTTGTTTATAACTTCTATGATTACCACCACTGCAACCCACATCAGCGATAATACCACTATTAATGGCTCCATCACCATCACTGCCACCGCCACAGTACCAATGAACTCTTGTCAAGGTGTAAACAGGTAAGGTGTTTATAATGAAAAAAGTACACTGTGTAGTCCTGGTGACTAAGGCATTAGAGATTTATAATGTTAAATGCTGTGCTTCAGTTCCGGTCAACTTGACTCAGTCATGGCTCAGCTCTGGTCTGGAAATGTGTCTGCAGTTCTCTGCAACTTCAGCATCCCTGAATTTGCCTGTGCATCAGTGAGTTTCCTATGAACCAGATCCAGAATATGTCTTTACAGTTTTAACTCTCTTACATAGCAGGATGTCATCAAGTCAACCTTGTAAATGTTTTTCTATCTTTGTTTATATCTTTGCATCTCAAGTTTGCTAATCTGTCCTCTGATGATCTGGTTATACTGCTGACATGCAAACTGCGAAGTGGTGAGATCTACTCCAAAGAAATTTGGGAGCTTTTTGTCCAAAGGTTTTCAGCATCACTTGATGGAGCTCTGGATAAGTATTATAATGAGGTATGCAGTGTCAATTAGTACTGCACTAAGAAATAAAACCCTTGGAAGTGTACTTGCAATATCTGCTTTCTCTTCTAGACCCCACACTTCAGGCTGCCTAGCCCATCTATTCTCGATGGGATCAGTGTGATCAAAGTCAACAACTTTAGTGATGTAGAACTGAAGGATGTCGCTTTCATCACCACGTGGTTCCAGATAAGGCTGAGGCCATTTTTAGCATCAGCATCCACAGACTTCCTTTCTAGTCTCAGTTCCAAGAACTTCAGCTGTCAAACCTACCAAGTTGTGTAAGTATTGACAAGTGAATTTCAGAACATTACAAACAGTGTTTATGGCAGGACGTTTGTGAATTAAAAACAAACAATCTATGATGACATCAAATCTGTTCTCATCTAATTTAGGGTACAGGCCTTTAGTATACAAGAAACATTACTGGAAAAGGAACAAAAACATTCCATCATTGACAGTTTCATCGAACCTTTCCTCTCAAAATCCAACTTGGCAGGTACAACAACATGTAACTACTCTTACTTAACTTTTTAAGGATGTCTTAACAAAGCACGTGATTTGTTCAACTGAAAAAATGAACCAAAGTTTTCTTTGTAATATTCATACATTCACTGTTGCTCTGTGGTCATTTAAGATCCTAGATGTATTTCCAACGTTTCTGGCAGCAGGGAATGGCTAACAAAGAACTTTGGCAACTTCTCTACTTATGCTACTTTGAAACAGCTTCAAGATCTAAATGAAAATTTCTCTAGGGTGAGTAATAACAGTTGGGGTGCATTTGACTAAGTGTAGAGGGTATAAGCACTAAAAGTTGCTTTCTGTGTTTTAGTTTGAATCTTTGGACCTGCTGACCCCTAGCCAAGCAGCTGAACTCACTCTGAGCTCTGGCGCCCTCAACAGCACAAGTCAGATTGACCTAGTGTTCAATCAACTACAGAAAGGCGATGCTTTCACCAACGTGCATGACTTTCTCACAGTCCTCTCTGATCAGAAGGTAACTGAGACACACTGAAACCTCTAGTACAGGAATCTTTACAATTACAACAAACATTGATCCTGACAGATTATTCTGTATTCTTGGGCTGCTTTTCTACAGGCTCCTGTTATCAACCCTGCAGTCAGAGATGTGATGATGAATCGAACCTTCAAGATCATCAGCATGAAGTTTTCACAGTTTCAGACATACGACTGGTATGACTGGTTTAAGGTCAAGCTCATCTCTCTCCTGCCCAGTTTCACTGCAGAGATGCTCACTAATGCAACATTAGGCATCAACTGTACCAACTACCACGTCATGTAAGTGACATTTTATATTTGATTATTCAAATTTTGCAGGCCTTCGTATGCAATATTTTAAGGTCAGGAACCAAAAAGTAAACCGAATCACAAACAAAACTGGACACAAAATAGGGAGTTGAATTATCAACAGCATTGGAAGTTGCTCTGGGTCAGGAAGACAATCACCTATTGGAGCAAGTATGGCACCTGAGACAACAAAAGGAACCAGGTCAAGGACAGGTTATGAAACCAAACTGAGGGTCAGGAATATGGTCTGTGTAAGGGTCAGGAATTGAAATTTCAACAGGATGAAAAAAGAGCCTAAATCACATATCAGAATGATGCTTGGTCAGATAAATAATCAGCTCTGCCAGGGCCATGAATGAGAACTTGTTCAGGGTCAGAAGTGGAGTCTGGGTAAGGGTCAAAAGCAAAAACCATGGTAAGGGTCAGGAATGGAACTTAAGTCAGGAAATGGCCCCTTAACTATCAGCAGTGAAGACTAGGTTAGGTAAGGATCCTGCTAAGGTCAGGGTCAAAAAACAATGTAATTCAAGGTCAGAGGCTGGAAATAGTGTCAGAAAAAACTAGTACATATTCGAGCCTGATCAAGATGAGAAATGATACCTTGAACAGGATCAGAGAGGGACCTAATTAAACATCAATGACAGGAATGAAGTCGGGACCAAGGGGTTTAGGAAATGTAAGAGTTTGTCACACGTGAAAATGCTTCATTTAGATTGAATCTTCTTGGAAAAGGCAGTAAATCACTTCTGTCCAGAAAAGATGTTGAATTTGTTGCAAATTGTGTTTCAAATATGCTGTTTTAGATTGAGTAACTCAATGCCTCTATTAATGTCTCTCTGAGATTATTATTATACTGTATCATTAGCTTTAAACTTTACTACACTGGATCTTGACCTCTTTCTGTAAATATCAACTCAGTAGCATCAACTTTATCCCTGAAGTTCAGCCTTGCCTCAAAACAAATGTTAACTTCAATCCACCCTTTCATTTCTTTTCAGTGTTGATGCATTAAGCACTGTTGCTGTGAACATGCCAGTAAATAGAAATCAGGAACTTGGGGCTGTTCTGGTGGCATACCTAAAGCAATCCATACAGCAAATCAATCAAACAGGTGCGTTACTTCTCAGAACAGTCACGCTCCAACACAGTCAACGATTAACCCTCAAGATTCTTTAGCTCATTCCTAATTTCGTACTTTCAAAACAAAGTACTGATTTGTACTCTTGATATCATGCAGGCTGCAGAGTGAACAACCAGACCGATGCAGACTGGCTCACTGTTAATCTTGGCCACTTCTCCAGCTACTTGTCATTCTCTCAGCTGGCACAATTCAACATTTCTTGGGTAAGTCCCCGTCTCTGACAACAGTTTTCTCAGTCTCCTTTACGTAATCATTGAGACTACATTGTATTTACACAATAGCTAGGTGAAACCACTAACAGCTGGTCACTGTCATATTGCAGTTTGGATCTTTGGACCTGCTGACCCCTAGCCAAGCAGCTGAACTCACTCTGAGCTCTGGCGCCCTCAACAGCACAAGTCAGATTGACCTAGTGTTCAATCAACTACAGAAAGGCGATGCTTTCATGAACGTGCATGACTTTCTCACAGTCCTCTCTGATCAGAAGGTAATTGAGACACACTGAAACCTCTAGTACAGGAATCTTTACAATTACAGCAAACATTGATCTTGACAAATTATTCTGTATTCTTGGGCTGCTTTACTACAGGCTCCTGTTATCAACCCTGCAGTCAGAGATGTGATGATGAATCGAACCTTCAAGATCATCAGCATGAGGTTTTCACAGTTTCAGACATACGACTGGTATGACTGGTTTAAGGTCAAGCTCATCTCTCTCCTGCCCAGTTTCACTGCAGAGATGCTCACTAATGCAACATTAGGCATCAACTGTACCAACTACCACGTCATGTAAGTGACATTTTATATTTGATTATTCAAATTTTGCAGGCCTTCGTATGCAATATTTTAAGGTCAGGAACCAAAAAGTAAACCGAATCACAAACAAAACTGGACACAAAATAGGGAGTTGAATTATCAACAGCATTGGAAGTTGCTCTGGGTCAGGAAGACAATCACCTATTGGAGCAAGTATGGCACCTGAGACAACAAAAGGAACCAGGTCAAGGACAGGTTATGAAACCAAACTGAGGGTCAGGAATATGGTCTGTGTAAGGGTCAGGAATTGAAATTTCAACAGGATGAAAAAAGAGCCTAAATCACATATCAGAATGATGCTTGGTCAGATAAATAATCAGCTCTGCCAGGGCCATGAATGAGAACTTGTTCAGGGTCAGAAGTGGAGTCTGGGTAAGGGTCAAAAGCAAAAACCATGGTAAGGGTCAGGAATGGAACTTAAGTCAGGAAATGGCCCCTTAACTATCAGCAGTGAAGACTAGGTTAGGTAAGGATCCTGCTAAGGTCAGGGTCAAAAAACAATGTAATTCAAGGTCAGAGGCTGGAAATAGTGTCAGAAAAAACTAGTACATATTCGAGCCTGATCAAGATGAGAAATGATACCTTGAACAGGATCAGAGAGGGACCTAATTAAACATCAATGACAGGAATGAAGTCGGGACCAAGGGGTTTAGGAAATGTAAGAGTTTGTCACACGTGAAAATGCTTCATTTAGATTGAATCTTCTTGGACAAGGCAGTAAATCACTTCTGTCCAGAAAAGATGTTGAATTTGTTGCAAATTGTGTTTCAAATATGCTGTTTTAGATTGAGTAACTCAATGCCTCTATTAATGTCTCTCTGAGATTATTATTATACTGTATCATTAGCTTTAAACTTTACTACACTGGATCTTGACCTCTTTCTGTAAATATCAACTCAGTAGCATCAACTTTATCCCTGAAGTTCAGCCTTGCCTCAAAACAAATGTTAACTTCAATCCACCCTTTCATTTCTTTTCAGTGTTGATGCATTAAGCACGGTTGCTGTGAACATGCCAGTAAATAGAAATCAGGAACTTGGGGCTGTTCTGGTGGCATACCTAAAGCAATCCATACAGCAAATCAATCAAACAGGTGCGTTACTTCTCAGAACAGTCACGCTCCAACACAGTCAACGATTAACCCTCAAGATTCTTTAGCTCATTCCTAATTTCGTACTTTCAAAACAAAGTACTGATTTGTACTCTTGATATTATGCAGGCTGCAGAGTGAACAACCAGACCGATGTAGACTGGCTCACTGTTAATCTTGGCCACTTCTCCAGCTACTTGTCATTCTCTCAGCTGGCACAATTCAACATTTCTTGGGTAAGTCCCCGTCTCTGACAACAGTTTTCTCAGTCTCCTTTACGTAATCATTGAGACTACATTGTATTTACACAATAGCTAGGTGAAACCACTAACAGCTGGTCACTGTCATATTGCAGTTTGGATCTTTGGACCTGCTGACCCCTAGCCAAGCAGCTGAACTCACTCTGAGCTCTGGCGCCCTCAACAGCACAAGTCAGATTGACCTAGTGTTCAATCAACTACAGAAAGGCGATGCTTTCACCAACGTGCATGACTTTCTCACAGTCCTCTCTGATCAGAAGGTAACTGAGACACACTGAAACCTCTAGTACAGGAATCTTTACAATTACAACAAACATTGATCCTGACAGATTATTCTGTATTCTTGGGCTGCTTTTCTACAGGCTCCTGTTATCAACCCTGCAGTCAGAGATGTGATGATGAATCGAACCTTCAAGATCATCAGCATGAGGTTTTCACAGTTTCAGACATACGACTGGTATGACTGGTTTAAGGTCAAGCTCATCTCTCTCCTGCCCAGTTTCACTGCAGAGATGCTCACTAATGCAACATTAGGCATCAGCTGTACCAACTACCACGTCATGTAAGTGATATTTTATATTTCATTATTCAAACTTTGCAGGCCTTCGTATGCAATATTTTAAGGTCAGGAACCAAAAAAGAAAACCAAACCACGAACAGAATTCGACACAAAATAGGGAGTTGAATTAAGAACAGCATTGGAAGTCGCACTGGGTCAGGAAGACAATCACCTATTGGAGCAAGTATGGCACCTGAGACAACAAAAGGAACCAGGTCAAGGACAGGTTATGAAACCAAACTGAGGGTCAGGAATATGGTCTGTGTAAGGGTCAGGAATTGAAATTTCAACAGGATGAAAAAAGAGCCTAAATCACATATCAGAATGATGCTTGGTCAGATAAATAATCAGCTCTGCCAGGGCCATGAATGAGAACTTGTTCAGGGTCAGAAGTGGAGTCTGGGTAAGGGTCAAAAGCAAAAACCATGGTAAGGGTCAGGAATGGAACTTAAGTCAGGAAATGGCCCCTTAACTATCAGCAGTGAAGACTAGGTTAGGTAAGGATCCTGCTAAGGTCAGGGTCAAAAAACAATGTAATTCAAGGTCAGAGGCTGGAAATAGTGTCAGAAAAAACTAGTACATATTCGAGCCTGATCAAGATGAGAAATGATACCTTGATCAGGATCAGAGAGGGACCTAATTAAACGTCAGTGACAGGAATGAAGTCGGGACCAAGGGGTTTAGGAAATGTAAGAGTTTGTCACACGTGAAAATGCTTCATTTAGATTGAATCTTCTTGGAAAAGGCAGTAAATCACTTCTGTCCAGAAAAGATGTTGAATTTGTCGCAAACTGTGTTTCAAATATGCTGTTTTAGATTGAGTAACTCAATGCCTCTATTAATGTCTCTCTGAGATTATTATTATACTGTATCATTAGCTTTAAACTTTACTACACTGGATCTTGACCTCTTTCTGTAAATATCAACTCAGTAGCATCAACTTTATCCCTGAAGTTCAGCCTTGCCTCAAAACAAATGTTAACTTCAATCCACCCTTTCATTTCTTTTCAGTGTTGATGCATTAAGCACGGTTGCTGTGAACATGCCAGTAAATAGAAATCAGGAACTTGGGGCTGTTCTGGTGGCATACCTAAAGCAATCCATACAGCAAATCAATCAAACAGGTGCGTTACTTCTCAGAACAGTCACGCTCCAACACAGTCAACGATTAACCCTCAAGATTCTTCAGCTCATTCCTAATTTCGTACTTTCAAAACAAAGTACTGATTTGTACTCTTGATATCATGCAGGCTGCAGAGTGAACAACCAGACAGATGCAGACTGGCTCACTGTTAATCTTGGCCACTTCTCCAGCTACTTGTCATTCTCTCAGCTGGCACAATTCAACATTTCTTGGGTAAGTCCCCGTCTCTGACAACAGTTTTCTCAGTCTCCTTTACGTAATCATTGAGACTACATTGTATTTACACAATAGCTAGGTGAAACCACTAACAGCTGGTCACTGTCATATTGCAGTTTGGATCTTTGGACCTGCTGACCCCTAGCCAAGCAGCTGAACTCACTCTGAGCTCTGGCGCCCTCAACAGCACAAGTCAGATTGACCTAGTGTTCAATCAACTACAGAAAGGCGATGCTTTCATGAACGTGCATGACTTTCTCACAGTCCTCTCTGATCAGAAGGTAATTGAGACACACTGAAACCTCTAGTACAGGAATCTTTACAATTACAGCAAACATTGATCTTGACAAATTATTCTGTATTCTTGGGCTGCTTTACTACAGGCTCCTGTTATCAACCCTGCAGTCAGAGATGTGATGATGAATCGAACCTTCAAGATCATCAGCATGAGGTTTTCACAGTTTCAGACATACGACTGGTATGACTGGTTTAAGGTCAAGCTCATCTCTCTCCTGCCCAGTTTCACTGCAGAGATGCTCACTAATGCAACATTAGGCATCAGCTGCACCAACTACCAAGTGATGTAAGTCACATTTCGTATGTCATTATTCAAATTTTCCAGGCTGTTGTATGCAAAATTTTAAAGTCAGGAAGCAAAGAGTAAACCGAACCACAGACAAAACTGGACAAAAAACAGGGAGCTGAATTATGAACAGAATTGGAAGTTGCGCTGGGTGAGGAAGACAATCGACTGTTGAATTGAAAGATGTTGAATTTGTTGCAAATTGTGTTTTAAATATGCTGTGCAGATTGAGTGTCTCAATGCCTCTATCAATGTCTATCTGACTTTACTACACAGGGTCTTGACCTCTTTCTGTAAATATCAACTCAGTAGCATCATCTTTATCCCTGAAGTTCAGCCTTGCCTCAAAACAAATGTTAACTTCAATCCACCCTTTCATTTCTTTTCAGTGTTGATGCATTAAGCACTGTTGCTGTGAACATGCCAGTAAATAGAAATCAGGAACTTGGGGCTGTTCTGGTGGCATACCTAAAGCAATCCATACAGCAAATCAATCAAACAGGTGCGTTACTTCTCAGAACAGTCACGCTCCAACACAGTCAACGATTAACCCTCAAGATTCTTCAGCTCATTCCTAATTTCGTACTTTCAAAACAAAGTACTGATTTGTACTCTTGATATCATGCAGGCTGCAGAGTGAACAACCAGACAGATGCAGACTGGTTCACTGTTAATCTTGGCCACTTCTCCAGCTACTTGTCATTCTCTCAGCTGGCACAATTCAACATTTCTTGGGTAAGTCCCCGTCTCTGACAACAGTTTTCTCAGTCTCCTTTACGTAATCATTGAGACCACATTGTATTTACACAATAGCTAGGTGAAACCACTAACAGCTGGTCACTGTCATATTGCAGTTTGGATCTTTGGACCTGCTGACCCCTAGCCAAGCAGCTGAACTCACTCTGAGCTCTGGCGCCCTCAACAGCACAAGTCAGATTGACCTAGTGTTCAATCAACTACAGAAAGGCGATGCTTTCACCAACGTGCATGACTTTCTCACAGTCCTCTCTGATCAGAAGGTAATTGAGACACACTGAAACCTCTAGTACAGGAATCTTTACAATTACAGCAAACATTGATCTTGACAAATTATTCTGTATTCTTGGGCTGCTTTTCTACAGGCTCCTGTTATCAACCCTGCAGTCAGAGATGTGATGATGAATCGAACCTTCAAGATCATCAGCATGAAGTTTTCACAGTTTCAGACATACGACTGGTATGACTGGTTTAAGGTCAAGCTCATCTCTCTCCTGCCCAGTTTCACTGCAGAGATGCTCACTAATGCAACATTAGGCATCAACTGTACCAACTACCACGTCATGTAAGTGACATTTTATATTTGATTATTCAAATTTTGCAGGCCTTCGTATGCAATGTTTTAAGGTCAGGAACCAAAAAGTAAACCAAATCACAAACAAAACTGGACACAAAATAGGGAGTTGAATTATCAACAGCATTGGAAGTTGCTCTGGGTCAGGAAGACAATCACCTATTGGAGCAAGTATGGCACCTGAGACAACAAAAGGAACCAGGTCAAGGACAGGTTATGAAACCAAACTGAGGGTCAGGAATATGGTCTGTGTAAGGGTCAGGAATAGAAATTTCAACAGGATGAAAAAAGAGCCTAAATCACATATCAGAATGATGCTTGGTCAGGTAAATAATCAGCTCTGCCAGGGCCATGAATGAGAACTTGTTCAGGCTCAGAAGTGGAGTCTGGGTAAGGGTCAAAAGCAAAAACCATGGTAAGGGTCAGGAATGGAACTTAAGTCAGGAAATGGCCCCTTAACTATCAGCAGTGAAGACTAGGTTAGGTAAGGATCCTGCTAAGGTCAGGGTCAAAAAACAATGTAATTCAAGGTCAGAGGCTGGAAATAGTGTCAGAAAAAACTAGTACATATTCGAGCCTGATCAAGATGAGAAATGATACCTTGATCAGGATCAGAGAGGGACCTAATTAAACATCAATGACAGGAATGAAGTCGGGACCAAGGGGTTTAGGAAATGTAAGAGTTTGTCACACGTGAAAATGCTTCATGGTCTTTAGATTGAATCTTCTTGGACAAGGCAGTAAATCACTTCTGTCCAGAAAAGATGTTGAATTTGTTGCAAATTGTGTTTCAAATATGCTGTTTTAGATTGAGTAACTCAATGCCTCTATCAAGGTCTCTCTGAGATTATTATTATACTGTATCATTAGCTTTAAACTTTACTACACAGGGTCTTGACCTCTTTCTGTAAATATCAACTCAGTAGAATCATCTTTATCCCTGAAGTTCAGCCTTGCCTCAAAACAAATGTTAACTTCAATCCACCCTTTCATTTCTTTTCAGTGTTGATGCATTAAGCACTGTTGCTGTGAACATGCCAGTAAATAGAAATCAGGAACTTGGGGCTGTTCTGGTGGCATACCTAAAGCAATCCATACAGCAAATCAATCAAACAGGTGCGTTACTTCTCAGAACAGTCACGCTCCAACACAGTCAACGATTAACCCTCAAGATTCTTCAGCTCATTCCTAATTTCGTACTTTCAAAACAAAGTACTGATTTGTACTCTTGATATTATGCAGGCTGCAGAGTGAACAACCAGACCGATGTAGACTGGCTCACTGTTAATCTTGGCCACTTCTCCAGCTACTTGTCATTCTCTCAGCTGGCACAATTCAACATTTCTTGGGTAAGTCCCCGTCTCTGACAACAGTTTTCTCAGTCTCCTTTACGTAATCATTGAGACCACATTGTATTTACACAATAGCTAGGTGAAACCACTAACAGCTGGTCACTGTCATATTGCAGTTTGGATCTTTGGACCTGCTGACCCCTAGCCAAGCAGCTGAACTCACTCTGAGCTCTGGCGCCCTCAACAGCACAAGTCAGATTGACCTAGTGTTCAATCAACTACAGAAAGGCGATGCTTTCACCAACGTGCATGACTTTCTCACAGTCCTCTCTGATCAGAAGGTAATTGAGACACACTGAAACCTCTAGTACAGGAATCTTTACAATTACAACAAACATTGATCCTGACAAATTATTCTGTTCTTGGGCTGCTTTACTACAGGCTCCTGTTATCAACCCTGCAGTCAGAGATGTGATGATGAATCGAACCTTCAAGATCATCAGCATGAAGTTTTCACAGTTTCAGACATACGACTGGTATGACTGGTTTAAGGTCAAGCTCATCTCTCTCCTGCCCAGTTTCACTGCAGAGATGCTCACTAATGCAACATTAGGCATCAGCTGCACCAACTACCAAGTGATGTAAGTCACATTTCGTATGTCATTATTCAAATTTTCCAGGCTGTTGTATGCAAAATTTTAAAGTCAGGAAGCAAAGAGTAAACCGAACCACAGACAAAACTGGACAAAAAACAGGGAGCTGAATTATGAACAGAATTGGAAGTTGCTCTGGGTCAGGAAGACAATCGACTGTTGAATTGAAAGATGTTGAATTTGTTGCAAATTGTGTTTTAAATATGCTGTGCAGATTGAGTGTCTCAATGCCTCTATCAATGTCTATCTGACTTTACTACACAGGGTCTTGACCTCTTTCTGTAAATATCAACTCAGTAGCATCATCTTTATCCCTGAAGTTCAGCCTTGCCTCAAAACAAATGTTAACTTCAATCCACTCTATCAATGACACTTGTTCAGGGTCAGAAGTCGAGCCTGGGTAAGGGTCAAAAGCAAAAATAATGGTAAGGGTCAGGAATGGAACTTAAGTCAGGAAATGGCCCCTTAACTATCAGCAGTGAAGACTAGGTTAGGTAAGGATCCTACTTAGGTCAGGGTCAAAAAACAATGCAATTCAAGGTCAGCGGCTGGAAATAATGTCAGAAAAAAATAGTACATATTCGAGCCTGATCAAGATGAGAAATGATACCTTGATCAGGATCAGAGAGGGACCTAATTAGATGTCAATGACAGGAATGAAGTCGGGACCAAGGGGTTTAGGAAATGTAAGAGTTTGTCACACGTGAAAATGCTTCATGGTCTTTAGATTGAATCTTCTTGGACAAGGCAGTAAATCACTTCTGTCCAGAAAAGATGTTGAATTTGTTGCAAATTGTGTTTCAAATATGCTGTTTTAGATTGAGTAACTCAATGCCTCTATCAAGGTCTCTCTGAGATTATTATTATACTGTATCATTAGCTTTAAACTTTACTACACAGGGTCTTGACCTCTTTCTGTAAATATCAACTCAGTAGAATCATCTTTATCCCTGAAGTTCAGCCTTGCCTCAAAACAAATGTTAACTTCAATCCACCCTTTCATTTCTTTTCAGTGTTGATGCATTAAGCACTGTTGCTGTGAACATGCCAGTAAATAGAAATCAGGAACTTGGGGTTGTTCTGGTGGCATACCTAAAGCAATCCATACAGCAAATCAATCAAACAGGTGCGTTACTTCTCAGAACAGTCACGCTCCAACACAGTCAACGATTAACCCTCAAGATTCTTCAGCTCATTCCTAATTTCGTACTTTCAAAACAAAGTACTGATTTGTACTCTTGATATCATGCAGGCTGCAGAGTGAACAACCAGACAGATGCAGACTGGTTCACTGTTAATCTTGGCCACTTCTCCAGCTACTTGTCATTCTCTCAGCTGGCACAATTCAACATTTCTTGGGTAAGTCCCCGTCTCTGACAACAGTTTTCTCAGTCTCCTTTACGTAATCATTGAGACCACATTGTATTTACACAATAGCTAGGTGAAACCACTAACAGCTGGTCACTGTCATATTGCAGTTTGGATCTTTGGACCTGCTGACCCCTAGCCAAGCAGCTGAACTCACTCTGAGCTCTGGCGCCCTCAACAGCACAAGTCAGATTGACCTAGTGTTCAATCAACTACAGAAAGGCGATGCTTTCACCAACGTGCATGACTTTCTCACAGTCCTCTCTGATCAGAAGGTAATTGAGACACACTGAAACCTCTAGTACAGGAATCTTTACAATTACAGCAAACATTGATCTTGACAAATTATTCTGTATTCTTGGGCTGCTTTTCTACAGGCTCCTGTTATCAACCCTGCAGTCAGAGATGTGATGATGAATCGAACCTTCAAGATCATCAGCATGAAGTTTTCACAGTTTCAGACATACGACTGGTATGACTGGTTTAAGGTCAAGCTCATCTCTCTCCTGCCCAGTTTCACTGCAGAGATGCTCACTAATGCAACATTAGGCATCAGCTGCACCAACTACCAAGTGATGTAAGTCACATTTCGTATGTCATTATTCAAATTTTCCAGGCTGTTGTATGCAAAATTTTAAAGTCAGGAAGCAAAGAGTAAACCGAACCACAGACAAAACTGGACAAAAAACAGGGAGCTGAATTATGAACAGAATTGGAAGTTGCTCTGGGTCAGGAAGACAATCGACTGTTGAATTGAAAGATGTTGAATTTGTTGCAAATTGTGTTTTAAATATGCTGTGCAGATTGAGTGTCTCAATGCCTCTATCAATGTCTATCTGACTTTACTACACAGGGTCTTGACCTCTTTCTGTAAATATCAACTCAGTAGCATCATCTTTATCCCTGAAGTTCAGCCTTGCCTCAAAACAAATGTTAACTTCAATCCACCCTTTCATTTCTTTTCAGTGTTGATGCATTAAGCACTGTTGCTGTGAACATGCCAGTAAATAGAAATCAGGAACTTGGGGTTGTTCTGGTGGCATACCTAAAGCAATCCATACAGCAAATCAATCAAACAGGTGCGTTACTTCTCAGAACAGTCACGCTCCAACACAGTCAACGATTAACCCTCAAGATTCTTCAGCTCATTCCTAATTTCGTACTTTCAAAACAAAGTACTGATTTGTACTCTTGATATCATGCAGGCTGCAGAGTGAACAACCAGACAGATGCAGACTGGTTCACTGTTAATCTTGGCCACTTCTCCAGCTACTTGTCATTCTCTCAGCTGGCACAATTCAACATTTCTTGGGTAAGTCCCCGTCTCTGACAACAGTTTTCTCAGTCTCCTTTACGTAATCATTGAGACCACATTGTATTTACACAATAGCTAGGTGAAACCACTAACAGCTGGTCACTGTCATATTGCAGTTTGGATCTTTGGACCTGCTGACCCCTAGCCAAGCAGCTGAACTCACTCTGAGCTCTGGCGCCCTCAACAGCACAAGTCAGATTGACCTAGTGTTCAATCAACTACAGAAAGGCGATGCTTTCACCAACGTGCATGACTTTCTCACAGTCCTCTCTGATCAGAAGGTAACTGAGACACACTGAAACCTCTAGTACAGGAATCTTTACAATTACAACAAACATTGATCTTGACAAATTATTCTGTATTCTTGGGCTGCTTTTCTACAGGCTCCTGTTATCAACCCTGCAGTCAGAGATGTGATGATGAATCGAACCTTCAAGATCATCAGCATGAAGTTTTCACAGTTTCAGACATACGACTGGTATGACTGGTTTAAGGTCAAGCTCATCTCTCTCCTGCCCAGTTTCACTGCAGAGATGCTCACTAATGCAACATTAGGCATCAGCTGCACCAACTACCAAGTGATGTAAGTCACATTTCGTATGTCATTATTCAAATTTTCCAGGCTGTTGTATGCAAAATTTTAAAGTCAGGAAGCAAAGAGTAAACCGAACCAGACAAAACTGGACAAAAAACAGGGAGCTGAATTATGAACAGAATTGGAAGTTGCTCTGGGTCAGGAAGACAATCGACTGTTGAATTGAAAGATGTTGAATTTGTTGCAAATTGTGTTTTAAATATGCTGTGCAGATTGAGTGTCTCAATGCCTCTATCAATGTCTATCTGACTTTACTACACAGGGTCTTGACCTCTTTCTGTAAATATCAACTCAGTAGCATCATCTTTATCCCTGAAGTTCAGCCTTGCCTCAAAACAAATGTTAACTTCAATCCACTCTATCAATGACACTTGTTCAGGGTCAGAAGTCGAGCCTGGGTAAGGGTCAAAAGCAAAAATAATGGTAAGGGTCAGGAATGGAACTTAAGTCAGGAAATGGCCCCTTAACTATCAGCAGTGAAGACTAGGTTAGGTAAGGATCCTACTTAGGTCAGGGTCAAAAAACAATGCAATTCAAGGTCAGCGGCTGGAAATAATGTCAGAAAAAACTAGTACATATTCGAGCCTGATCAAGATGAGAAATGATACCTTGATCAGGATCAGAGAGGGACCTAATTAGACGTCAATGACAGGAATGAAGTCGGGACCAAGGGGTTTAGGAAATGTAAGAGTTTGTCACACGTGAAAATGCTTCATGGTCTTTAGATTGAATCTTCTTGGACAAGGCAGTAAATCACTTCTGTCCAGAAAAGATGTTGAATTTGTTGCAAATTGTGTTTCAAATATGCTGTTTTAGATTGAGACAATCACCTATTGGAGCAAGTATGGCACCTGAGACAACAAAAGGAACCAGGTCAAGGACAGGTTATGAAACCAAACTGAGGGTCAGGAATATGGTCTGTGTAAGGGTCAGGAATAGAAATTTCAACAGGATGAAAAAAGAGCCTAAATCACATATCAGAATGATGCTTGGTCAGGTAAATAATCAGCTCTGCCAGGGCCATGAATGAGAACTTGTTCAGGGTCAGAAGTGGAGTCTGGGTAAGGGTCAAAAGCAAAAACCATGGTAAGGGTCAGGAATGGAACTTAAGTCAGGAAATGGCCCCTTAACTATCAGCAGTGAAGACTAGGTTAGGTAAGGATCCTACTTAGGTCAGGGTCAAAAAACAATGTAATTCAAGGTCAGCGGCTGGAAATAATGTCAGAAAAAACTAGTACATATTCGAGCCTGATGAAGATGAGAAATGATACCTTGATCAGGATCAGAGAGGGACCTAATTAAACCTCAATGACAGGAATGAAGTCGGGACCAAGGGGTTTAGGAAATGTAAGAGTTTGTCACACGTGAAAATGCTTCATTTAGATTGAATCTTCTTGGACAAGGCAGTAAATCACTTCTGTCCAGAAAAGATGTTGAATTTGTTGCAAATTGTGTTTCAAATATGCTGTTTTAGATTGAGTAACTCAATGCCTCTATTAATGTCTCTCTGAGATTATTATTATACTGTATCATTAGCTTTAAACTTTACTACACTGGATCTTGACCTCTTTCTGTAAATATCAACTCAGTAGCATCAACTTTATCCCTGAAGTTCAGCCTTGCCTCAAAACAAATGTTAACTTCAATCCACTCTATCAATGACACTTGTTCAGGGTCAGAAGTCGAGCCTGGGTAAGGGTCAAAAGCAAAAATAATGGTAAGGGTCAGGAATGGAACTTAAGTCAGGAAATGGCCCCTTAACTATCAGCAGTGAAGACTAGGTTAGGTAAGGATCCTACTTAGGTCAGGGTCAAAAAACAATGTAATTCAAGGTCAGCGGCTGGAAATAATGTCAGAAAAAACTAGTACATATTCGAGCCTGATCAAGATGAGAAATGATACCTTGATCAGGATCAGAGAGGGACCTAATTAAACGTCAATGACAGGAATGAAGTCGGGACCAAGGGGTTTAGGAAATGTAAGAGTTTGTCACACGTGAAAATGCTTCATTTAGATTGAATCTTCTTGGACAAGGCAGTAAATCACTTCTGTCCAGAAAAGATGTTGAATTTGTTGCAAATTGTGTTTCAAATATGCTGTTTTAGATTGAGTAACTCAATGCCTCTATTAATGTCTCTCTGAGATTATTATTATACTGTATCATTAGCTTTAAACTTTACTACACTGGATCTTGACCTCTTTCTGTAAATATCAACTCAGTAGCATCAACTTTATCCCTGAAGTTCAGCCTTGCCTCAAAACAAATGTTAACTTCAATCCACCCTTTCATTTCTTTTCAGTGTTGATGCATTAAGCACTGTTGCTGTGAACATGCCAGTAAATAGAAATCAGGAACTTGGGGCTGTTCTGGTGGCATACCTGAAGCAATCCATACAGCAAATCAATCAAACAGGTGCGTTACTTCTCAGAACAGTCACGCTCCAACACAGTCAACGATTAACCCTCAAGATTCTTCAGCTCATTCCTAATTTCGTACTTTCAAAACAAAGTACTGATTTGTACTCTTGATATCATGCAGGCTGCAGAGTGAACAACCAGACAGATGCAGACTGGCTCACTGTTAATCTTGGCCACTTCTCCAGCTACTTGTCATTCTCTCAGCTGGCACAATTCAACATTTCTTGGGTAAGTCCCCGTCTCTGACAACAGTTTTCTCAGTCTCCTTTACGTAATCATTGAGACCACATTGTATTTACACAATAGCTAGGTGAAACCACTAACAGCTGGTCACTGTCATATTGCAGTTTGGATCTTTGGACCTGCTGACCCCTAGCCAAGCAGCTGAACTCACTCTGAGCTCTGGCGCCCTCAACAGCACAAGTCAGATTGACCTAGTGTTCAATCAACTACAGAAAGGCGATGCTTTCATGAACGTGCATGACTTTCTCACAGTCCTCTCTGATCAGAAGGTAATTGAGACACACTGAAACCTCTAGTACAGGAATCTTTACAATTACAACAAACATTGATCTTGACAAATTATTCTGTATTCTTGGGCTGCTTTTCTACAGGCTCCTGTTATCAACCCTGCAGTCAGAGATGTGATGATGAATCGAACCTTCAAGATCATCAGCATGAAGTTTTCACAGTTTCAGACATACGACTGGTATGACTGGTTTAAGGTCAAGCTCATCTCTCTCCTGCCCAGTTTCACTGCAGAGATGCTCACTAATGCAACATTAGGCATCAGCTGTACCAACTACCACGTCATGTAAGTGATATTTTATATTTCATTATTCAAATTTTGCAGGCCTTCGTATGCAATGTTTTAAGGTCAGGAACCAAAAAAACAAAAACAAACCACGAACAGAATTCGACACAAAATAGGGAGTTGAATTAAGAACAGCATTGGAAGTCGCACTGGGTCAGGAAGACAATCACCTATTGGAGCAAGTATGGCACCTGAGACAACAAAAGGAACCAGGTCAAGGACAGGTTATGAAACCAAACTGAGGGTCAGGAATATGGTCTGTGTAAGGGTCAGGAATAGAAATTTCAACAGGATGAAAAAAGAGCCTAAATCACATATCAGAATGATGCTTGGTCAGGTAAATAATCAGCTCTGCCAGGGCCATGAATGAGAACTTGTTCAGGGTCAGAAGTGGAGTCTGGGTAAGGGTCAAAAGCAAAAACGATGGTAAGGGTCAGGAATGGAACTTAAGTCAGGAAATGGCCCCTTAACTATCAGCAGTGAAGACTAGGTTAGGTAAGGATCCTACTTAGGTCAGGGTCAAAAAACAATGTAATTCAAGGTCAGCGGCTGGAAATAATGTCAGAAAAAACTAATACATATTCGAGCCTGATGAAGATGAGAAATGATACCTTGATCAGGATCAGAGAGGGACCTAATTAGATGTCAATGACAGGAATGAAGTCGGGACCAAGGGGTTTAGGAAATGTAAGAGTTTGTCACACGTGAAAATGCTTCATGGTCTTTAGATTGAATCTTCTTGGACAAGGCAGTAAATCACTTCTGTCCAGAAAAGATGTTGAATTTGTTGCAAATTGTGTTTCAAATATGCTGTTTTAGATTGAGTAACTCAATGCCTCTATTAATGTCTCTCTGAGATTATTATTATACTGTATCATTAGCTTTAAACTTTACTACACTGGATCTTGACCTCTTTCTGTAAATATCAACTCAGTAGCATCAACTTTATCCCTGAAGTTCAGCCTTGCCTCAAAACAAATGTTAACTTCAATCCACCCTTTCATTTCTTTTCAGTGTTGATGCATTAAGCACTGTTGCTGTGAACATGCCAGTAAATAGAAATCAGGAACTTGGGGCTGTTCTGGTGGCATACCTGAAGCAATCCATACAGCAAATCAATCAAACAGGTGCGTTACTTCTCAGAACAGTCACGCTCCAACACAGTCAACGATTAACCCTCAAGATTCTTCAGCTCATTCCTAATTTCGTACTTTCAAAACAAAGTACTGATTTGTACTCTTGATATTATGCAGGCTGCAGAGTGAACAACCAGACCGATGTAGACTGGCTCACTGTTAATCTTGGCCACTTCTCCAGCTACTTGTCATTCTCTCAGCTGGCACAATTCAACATTTCTTGGGTAAGTCCCCGTCTCTGACAACAGTTTTCTCAGTCTCCTTTACGTAATCATTGAGACCACATTGTATTTACACAATAGCTAGGTGAAACCACTAACAGCTGGTCACTGTCATATTGCAGTTTGGATCTTTGGACCTGCTGACCCCTAGCCAAGCAGCTGAACTCACTCTGAGCTCTGGCGCCCTCAACAGCACAAGTCAGATTGACCTAGTGTTCAATCAACTACAGAAAGGCGATGCTTTCACCAACGTGCATGACTTTCTCACAGTCCTCTCTGATCAGAAGGTAATTGAGACACACTGAAACCTCTAGTACAGGAATCTTTACAATTACAACAAACATTGATCTTGACAAATTATTCTGTATTCTTGGGCTGCTTTTCTACAGGCTCCTGTTATCAACCCTGCAGTCAGAGATGTGATGATGAATCGAACCTTCAAGATCATCAGCATGAAGTTTTCACAGTTTCAGACATACGACTGGTATGACTGGTTTAAGGTCAAGCTCATCTCTCTCCTGCCCAGTTTCACTGCAGAGATGCTCACTAATGCAACATTAGGCATCAGCTGTACCAACTACCACGTCATGTAAGTGATATTTTATATTTCATTATTCACATTTTGCAGGCCTTCGTATGCAATATTTGAAGGTCAGGAACCAAAAAAGAAAACCAAACCACGAACAGAATTCGACACAAAATAGGGAGTTGAATTAAGAACAGCATTGGAAGTCGCACTGGGTCAGGAAGACAATCACCTATTGGAGCAAGTATGGCACCTGAGACAACAAAAGGAACCAGGTCAAGGACAGGTTATGAAACCAAACTGAGGGTCAGGAATATGGTCTGTGTAAGGGTCAGGAATAGAAATTTCAACAGGATGAAAAAAGAGCCTAAATCACATATCAGAATGATGCTTGGTCAGATAAATAATCAGCTCTGCCAGGGCCATGAATGAGAACTTGTTCAGGGTCAGAAGTGGAGTCTGGGTAAGGGTCAAAAGCAAAAACCATGGTAAGGGTCAGGAATGGAACTTAAGTCAGGAAATGGCCCCTTAACTATCAGCAGTGAAGACTAGGTTAGGTAAGGATCCTACTTAGGTCAGGGTCAAAAAACAATGTAATTCAAGGTCAGCGGCTGGAAATAATGTCAGAAAAAACTAATACATATTCGAGCCTGATGAAGATGAGAAATGATACCTTGATCAGGATCAGAGAGGGACCTAATTAGATGTCAATGACAGGAATGAAGTCGGGACCAAGGGGTTTAGGAAATGTAAGAGTTTGTCACACGTGAAAATGCTTCATTTAGATTGAATCTTCTTGGACAAGGCAGTAAATCACTTCTGTCCAGAAAAGATGTTGAATTTGTTGCAAATTGTGTTTCAAATATGCTGTTTTAGATTGAGTAACTCAATGCCTCTATTAATGTCTCTCTGAGATTATTATTATACTGTATCATTAGCTTTAAACTTTACTACACTGGATCTTGACCTCTTTCTGTAAATATCAACTCAGTAGCATCAACTTTATCCCTGAAGTTCAGCCTTGCCTCAAAACAAATGTTAACTTCAATCCACCCTTTCATTTCTTTTCAGTGTTGATGCATTAAGCACTGTTGCTGTGAACATGCCAGTAAATAGAAATCAGGAACTTGGGGCTGTTCTGGTGGCATACCTGAAGCAATCCATACAGCAAATCAATCAAACAGGTGCGTTACTTCTCAGAACAGTCACGCTCCAACACAGTCAACGATTAACCCTCAAGATTCTTCAGCTCATTCCTAATTTCGTACTTTCAAAACAAAGTACTGATTTGTACTCTTGATATCATGCAGGCTGCAGAGTGAACAACCAGACAGATGCAGACTGGCTCACTGTTAATCTTGGCCACTTCTCCAGCTACTTGTCATTCTCTCAGCTGGCACAATTCAACATTTCTTGGGTAAGTCCCCGTCTCTGACAACAGTTTTCTCAGTCTCCTTTACGTAATCATTGAGACCACATTGTATTTACACAATAGCTAGGTGAAACCACTAACAGCTGGTCACTGTCATATTGCAGTTTGGATCTTTGGACCTGCTGACCCCTAGCCAAGCAGCTGAACTCACTCTGAGCTCTGGCGCCCTCAACAGCACAAGTCAGATTGACCTAGTGTTCAATCAACTACAGAAAGGCGATGCTTTCACCAACGTGCATGACTTTCTCACAGTCCTCTCTGATCAGAAGGTAATTGAGACACACTGAAACCTCTAGTACAGGAATCTTTACAATTACAACAAACATTGATCTTGACAAATTATTCTGTATTCTTGGGCTGCTTTTCTACAGGCTCCTGTTATCAACCCTGCAGTCAGAGATGTGATGATGAATCGAACCTTCAAGATCATCAGCATGAAGTTTTCACAGTTTCAGACATACGACTGGTATGACTGGTTTAAGGTCAAGCTCATCTCTCTCCTGCCCAGTTTCACTGCAGAGATGCTCACTAATGCAACATTAGGCATCAGCTGTACCAACTACCATGTCATGTAAGTGATATTTTATATTTCATTATTCAAATTTTGCAGGCCTTCGTATGCAATATTTTAAGGTCAGGAACCAAAAAAGAAAACCAAACCACGAACAGAATTCGACACAAAATAGGGAGTTGAATTAAGAACAGCATTGGAAGTCGCACTGGGTCAGGAAGACAATCACCTATTGGAGCAAGTATGGCACCTGAGACAACAAAAGGAACCAGGTCAAGGACAGGTTATGAAACCAAACTGAGGGTCAGGAATATGGTCTGTGTAAGGGTCAGGAATAGAAATTTCAACAGGATGAAAAAAGAGCCTAAATCACATATCAGAATGATGCTTGGTCAGGTAAATAATCAGCTCTGCCAGGGCCATGAATGAGAACTTGTTCAGGGTCAGAAGTGGAGTCTGGGTAAGGGTCAAAAGCAAAAACGATGGTAAGGGTCAGGAATGGAACTTAAGTCAGGAAATGGCCCCTTAACTATCAGCAGTGAAGACTAGGTTAGGTAAGGATCCTACTTAGGTCAGGGTCAAAAAACAATGTAATTCAAGGTCAGCGGCTGGAAATAATGTCAGAAAAAACTAGTACATATTCGAGCCTGATGAAGATGAGAAATGATACCTTGATCAGGATCAGAGAGGGACCTAATTAGATGTCAATGACAGGAATGAAGTCGGGACCAAGGGGTTTAGGAAATGTAAGAGTTTGTCACACGTGAAAATGCTTCATGGTCTTTAGATTGAATCTTCTTGGACAAGGCAGTAAATCACTTCTGTCCAGAAAAGATGTTGAATTTGTTGCAAATTGTGTTTCAAATATGCTGTTTTAGATTGAGTAACTCAATGCCTCTATTAATGTCTCTCTGAGATTATTATTATACTGTATCATTAGCTTTAAACTTTACTACACTGGATCTTGACCTCTTTCTGTAAATATCAACTCAGTAGCATCAACTTTATCCCTGAAGTTCAGCCTTGCCTCAAAACAAATGTTAACTTCAATCCACCCTTTCATTTCTTTTCAGTGTTGATGCATTAAGCACTGTTGCTGTGAACATGCCAGTAAATAGAAATCAGGAACTTGGGGCTGTTCTGGTGGCATACCTGAAGCAATCCATACAGCAAATCAATCAAACAGGTGCGTTACTTCTCAGAACAGTCACGCTCCAACACAGTCAACGATTAACCCTCAAGATTCTTCAGCTCATTCCTAATTTCGTACTTTCAAAACAAAGTACTGATTTGTACTCTTGATATTATGCAGGCTGCAGAGTGAACAACCAGACCGATGTAGACTGGCTCACTGTTAATCTTGGCCACTTCTCCAGCTACTTGTCATTCTCTCAGCTGGCACAATTCAACATTTCTTGGGTAAGTCCCCGTCTCTGACAACAGTTTTCTCAGTCTCCTTTACGTAATCATTGAGACCACATTGTATTTACACAATAGCTAGGTGAAACCACTAACAGCTGGTCACTGTCATATTGCAGTTTGGATCTTTGGACCTGCTGACCCCTAGCCAAGCAGCTGAACTCACTCTGAGCTCTGGCGCCCTCAACAGCACAAGTCAGATTGACCTAGTGTTCAATCAACTACAGAAAGGCGATGCTTTCACCAACGTGCATGACTTTCTCACAGTCCTCTCTGATCAGAAGGTAATTGAGACACACTGAAACCTCTAGTACAGGAATCTTTACAATTACAACAAACATTGATCTTGACAAATTATTCTGTATTCTTGGGCTGCTTTTCTACAGGCTCCTGTTATCAACCCTGCAGTCAGAGATGTGATGATGAATCGAACCTTCAAGATCATCAGCATGAAGTTTTCACAGTTTCAGACATACGACTGGTATGACTGGTTTAAGGTCAAGCTCATCTCTCTCCTGCCCAGTTTCACTGCAGAGATGCTCACTAATGCAACATTAGGCATCAGCTGTACCAACTACCATGTCATGTAAGTGATATTTTATATTTCATTATTCAAATTTTGCAGGCCTTCGTATGCAATATTTTAAGGTCAGGAACCAAAAAAGAAAACCAAACCACGAACAGAATTCGACACAAAATAGGGAGTTGAATTAAGAACAGCATTGGAAGTCGCACTGGGTCAGGAAGACAATCACCTATTGGAGCAAGTATGGCACCTGAGACAACAAAAGGAACCAGGTCAAGGACAGGTTATGAAACCAAACTGAGGGTCAGGAATATGGTCTGTGTAAGGGTCAGGAATAGAAATTTCAACAGGATGAAAAAAGAGCCTAAATCACATATCAGAATGATGCTTGGTCAGGTAAATAATCAGCTCTGCCAGGGCCATGAATGAGAACTTGTTCAGGGTCAGAAGTGGAGTCTGGGTAAGGGTCAAAAGCAAAAACGATGGTAAGGGTCAGGAATGGAACTTAAGTCAGGAAATGGCCCCTTAACTATCAGCAGTGAAGACTAGGTTAGGTAAGGATCCTACTTAGGTCAGGGTCAAAAAACAATGTAATTCAAGGTCAGCGGCTGGAAATAATGTCAGAAAAAACTAGTACATATTCGAGCCTGATCAAGATGAGAAATGATACCTTGATCAGGATCAGAGAGGGACCTAATTAGATGTCAATGACAGGAATGAAGTCGGGACCAAGGGGTTTAGGAAATGTAAGAGTTTGTCACACGTGAAAATGCTTCATTTAGATTGAATCTTCTTGGACAAGGCAGTAAATCACTTCTGTCCAGAAAAGATGTTGAATTTGTTGCAAATTGTGTTTCAAATATGCTGTTTTAGATTGAGTAACTCAATGCCTCTATTAATGTCTCTCTGAGATTATTATTATACTGTATCATTAGCTTTAAACTTTACTACACTGGATCTTGACCTCTTTCTGTAAATATCAACTCAGTAGCATCAACTTTATCCCTGAAGTTCAGCCTTGCCTCAAAACAAATGTTAACTTCAATCCACCCTTTCATTTCTTTTCAGTGTTGATGCATTAAGCACTGTTGCTGTGAACATGCCAGTAAATAGAAATCAGGAACTTGGGGCTGTTCTGGTGGCATACCTGAAGCAATCCATACAGCAAATCAATCAAACAGGTGCGTTACTTCTCAGAACAGTCACGCTCCAACACAGTCAACGATTAACCCTCAAGATTCTTCAGCTCATTCCTAATTTCGTACTTTCAAAACAAAGTACTGATTTGTACTCTTGATATTATGCAGGCTGCAGAGTGAACAACCAGACCGATGTAGACTGGCTCACTGTTAATCTTGGCCACTTCTCCAGCTACTTGTCATTCTCTCAGCTGGCACAATTCAACATTTCTTGGGTAAGTCCCCGTCTCTGACAACAGTTTTCTCAGTCTCCTTTACGTAATCATTGAGACCACATTGTATTTACACAATAGCTAGGTGAAACCACTAACAGCTGGTCACTGTCATATTGCAGTTTGGATCTTTGGACCTGCTGACCCCTAGCCAAGCAGCTGAACTCACTCTGAGCTCTGGCGCCCTCAACAGCACAAGTCAGATTGACCTAGTGTTCAATCAACTACAGAAAGGCGATGCTTTCACCAACGTGCATGACTTTCTCACAGTCCTCTCTGATCAGAAGGTAATTGAGACACACTGAAACCTCTAGTACAGGAATCTTTACAATTACAGCAAACATTGATCTTGACAAATTATTCTGTATTCTTGGGCTGCTTTTCTACAGGCTCCTGTTATCAACCCTGCAGTCAGAGATGTGATGATGAATCGAACCTTCAAGATCATCAGCATGAAGTTTTCACAGTTTCAGACATACGACTGGTATGACTGGTTTAAGGTCAAGCTCATCTCTCTCCTGCCCAGTTTCACTGCAGAGATGCTCACTAATGCAACATTAGGCATCAGCTGTACCAACTACCATGTCATGTAAGTGATATTTTATATTTCATTATTCAAATTTTGCAGGCCTTCGTATGCAATATTTTAAGGTCAGGAACCAAAAAAGAAAACCAAACCACGAACAGAATTCGACACAAAATAGGGAGTTGAATTAAGAACAGCATTGGAAGTCGCACTGGGTCAGGAAGACAATCACCTATTGGAGCAAGTATGGCACCTGAGACAACAAAAGGAACCAGGTCAAGGACAGGTTATGAAACCAAACTGAGGGTCAGGAATATGGTCTGTGTAAGGGTCAGGAATAGAAATTTCAACAGGATGAAAAAAGAGCCTAAATCACATATCAGAATGATGCTTGGTCAGGTAAATAATCAGCTCTGCCAGGGCCATGAATGAGAACTTGTTCAGGGTCAGAAGTGGAGTCTGGGTAAGGGTCAAAAGCAAAAACCATGGTAAGGGTCAGGAATGGAACTTAAGTCAGGAAATGGCCCCTTAACTATCAGCAGTGAAGACTAGGTTAGGTAAGGATCCTACTTAGGTCAGGGTCAAAAAACAATGTAATTCAAGGTCAGCGGCTGGAAATAATGTCAGAAAAAACTAATACATATTCGAGCCTGATGAAGATGAGAAATGATACCTTGATCAGGATCAGAGAGGGACCTAATTAGATGTCAATGACAGGAATGAAGTCGGGACCAAGGGGTTTAGGAAATGTAAGAGTTTGTCACACGTGAAAATGCTTCATTTAGATTGAATCTTCTTGGACAAGGCAGTAAATCACTTCTGTCCAGAAAAGATGTTGAATTTGTTGCAAATTGTGTTTCAAATATGCTGTTTTAGATTGAGTAACTCAATGCCTCTATTAATGTCTCTCTGAGATTATTATTATACTGTATCATTAGCTTTAAACTTTACTACACTGGATCTTGACCTCTTTCTGTAAATATCAACTCAGTAGCATCAACTTTATCCCTGAAGTTCAGCCTTGCCTCAAAACAAATGTTAACTTCAATCCACCCTTTCATTTCTTTTCAGTGTTGATGCATTAAGCACTGTTGCTGTGAACATGCCAGTAAATAGAAATCAGGAACTTGGGGCTGTTCTGGTGGCATACCTGAAGCAATCCATACAGCAAATCAATCAAACAGGTGCGTTACTTCTCAGAACAGTCACGCTCCAACACAGTCAACGATTAACCCTCAAGATTCTTCAGCTCATTCCTAATTTCGTACTTTCAAAACAAAGTACTGATTTGTACTCTTGATATCATGCAGGCTGCAGAGTGAACAACCAGACAGATGCAGACTGGCTCACTGTTAATCTTGGCCACTTCTCCAGCTACTTGTCATTCTCTCAGCTGGCACAATTCAACATTTCTTGGGTAAGTCCCCGTCTCTGACAACAGTTTTCTCAGTCTCCTTTACGTAATCATTGAGACCACATTGTATTTACACAATAGCTAGGTGAAACCACTAACAGCTGGTCACTGTCATATTGCAGTTTGGATCTTTGGACCTGCTGACCCCTAGCCAAGCAGCTGAACTCACTCTGAGCTCTGGCGCCCTCAACAGCACAAGTCAGATTGACCTAGTGTTCAATCAACTACAGAAAGGCGATGCTTTCACCAACGTGCATGACTTTCTCACAGTCCTCTCTGATCAGAAGGTAATTGAGACACACTGAAACCTCTAGTACAGGAATCTTTACAAATACAGCAAACATTGATCTTGACAAATTATTCTGTATTCTTGGGCTGCTTTTCTACAGGCTCCTGTTATCAACCCTGCAGTCAGAGATGTGATGATGAATCGAACCTTCAAGATCATCAGCATGAAGTTTTCACAGTTTCAGACATACGACTGGTATGACTGGTTTAAGGTCAAGCTCATCTCTCTCCTGCCCAGTTTCACTGCAGAGATGCTCACTAATGCAACATTAGGCATCAGCTGTACCAACTACCACGTCATGTAAGTGATATTTTATATTTCATTATTCAAATTTTGCAGGCCTTCGTATGCAATATTTTAAGGTCAGGAACCAAAAAAGAAAACCAAACCACGAACAGAATTCGACACAAAATAGGGAGTTGAATTAAGAACAGCATTGGAAGTCGCACTGGGTCAGGAAGACAATCACCTATTGGAGCAAGTATGGCACCTGAGACAACAAAAGGAACCAGGTCAAGGACAGGTTATGAAACCAAACTGAGGGTCAGGAATATGGTCTGTGTAAGGGTCAGGAATAGAAATTTCAACAGGATGAAAAAAGAGCCTAAATCACATATCAGAATGATGCTTGGTCAGGTAAATAATCAGCTCTGCCAGGGCCATGAATGAGAACTTGTTCAGGGTCAGAAGTGGAGTCTGGGTAAGGGTCAAAAGCAAAAACCATGGTAAGGGTCAGGAATGGAACTTAAGTCAGGAAATGGCCCCTTAACTATCAGCAGTGAAGACTAGGTTAGGTAAGGATCCTACTTAGGTCAGGGTCAAAAAACAATGTAATTCAAGGTCAGCGGCTGGAAATAATGTCAGAAAAAACTAGTACATATTCGAGCCTGATCAAGATGAGAAATGATACCTTGATCAGGATCAGAGAGGGACCTAATTAAACGTCAATGACAGGAATGAAGTCGGGACCAAGGGGTTTAGGAAATGTAAGAGTTTGTCACACGTGAAAATGCTTCATTTAGATTGAATCTTCTTGGACAAGGCAGTAAATCACTTCTGTCCAGAAAAGATGTTGAATTTGTTGCAAATTGTGTTTCAAATATGCTGTTTTAGATTGAGTAACTCAATGCCTCTATTAATGTCTCTCTGAGATTATTATTATACTGTATCATTAGCTTTAAACTTTACTACACTGGATCTTGACCTCTTTCTGTAAATATCAACTCAGTAGCATCAACTTTATCCCTGAAGTTCAGCCTTGCCTCAAAACAAATGTTAACTTCAATCCACCCTTTCATTTCTTTTCAGTGTTGATGCATTAAGCACTGTTGCTGTGAACATGCCAGTAAATAGAAATCAGGAACTTGGGGCTGTTCTGGTGGCATACCTGAAGCAATCCATACAGCAAATCAATCAAACAGGTGCGTTACTTCTCAGAACAGTCACGCTCCAACACAGTCAACGATTAACCCTCAAGATTCTTCAGCTCATTCCTAATTTCGTACTTTCAAAACAAAGTACTGATTTGTACTCTTGATATCATGCAGGCTGCAGAGTGAACAACCAGACAGATGCAGACTGGCTCACTGTTAATCTTGGCCACTTCTCCAGCTACTTGTCATTCTCTCAGCTGGCACAATTCAACATTTCTTGGGTAAGTCCCCGTCTCTGACAACAGTTTTCTCAGTCTCCTTTACGTAATCATTGAGACCACATTGTATTTACACAATAGCTAGGTGAAACCACTAACAGCTGGTCACTGTCATATTGCAGTTTGGATCTTTGGACCTGCTGACCCCTAGCCAAGCAGCTGAACTCACTCTGAGCTCTGGCGCCCTCAACAGCACAAGTCAGATTGACCTAGTGTTCAATCAACTACAGAAAGGCGATGCTTTCATGAACGTGCATGACTTTCTCACAGTCCTCTCTGATCAGAAGGTAATTGAGACACACTGAAACCTCTAGTACAGGAATCTTTACAAATACAGCAAACATTGATCTTGACAAATTATTCTGTATTCTTGGGCTGCTTTTCTACAGGCTCCTGTTATCAACCCTGCAGTCAGAGATGTGATGATGAATCGAACCTTCAAGATCATCAGCATGAAGTTTTCACAGTTTCAGACATACGACTGGTATGACTGGTTTAAGGTCAAGCTCATCTCTCTCCTGCCCAGTTTCACTGCAGAGATGCTCACTAATGCAACATTAGGCATCAGCTGTACCAACTACCACGTCATGTAAGTGATATTTTATATTTCATTATTCAAATTTTGCAGGCCTTCGTATGCAATATTTTAAGGTCAGGAACCAAAAAAGAAAACCAAACCACGAACAGAATTCGACACAAAATAGGGAGTTGAATTAAGAACAGCATTGGAAGTCGCACTGGGTCAGGAAGACAATCACCTATTGGAGCAAGTATGGCACCTGAGACAACAAAAGGAACCAGGTCAAGGACAGGTTATGAAACCAAACTGAGGGTCAGGAATATGGTCTGTGTAAGGGTCAGGAATAGAAATTTCAACAGGATGAAAAAAGAGCCTAAATCACATATCAGAATGATGCTTGGTCAGGTAAATAATCAGCTCTGCCAGGGCCATGAATGAGAACTTGTTCAGGGTCAGAAGTGGAGTCTGGGTAAGGGTCAAAAGCAAAAACCATGGTAAGGGTCAGGAATGGAACTTAAGTCAGGAAATGGCCCCTTAACTATCAGCAGTGAAGACTAGGTTAGGTAAGGATCCTACTTAGGTCAGGGTCAAAAAACAATGTAATTCAAGGTCAGCGGCTGGAAATAATGTCAGAAAAAACTAATACATATTCGAGCCTGATCAAGATGAGAAATGATACCTTGATCAGGATCAGAGAGGGACCTAATTAGACGTCAATGACAGGAATGAAGTCGGGACCAAGGGGTTTAGGAAATGTAAGAGTTTGTCACACGTGAAAATGCTTCATTTAGATTGAATCTTCTTGGACAAGGCAGTAAATCACTTCTGTCCAGAAAAGATGTTGAATTTGTTGCAAATTGTGTTTCAAATATGCTGTTTTAGATTGAGTAACTCAATGCCTCTATTAATGTCTCTCTGAGATTATTATTATACTGTATCATTAGCTTTAAACTTTACTACACTGGATCTTGACCTCTTTCTGTAAATATCAACTCAGTAGCATCAACTTTATCCCTGAAGTTCAGCCTTGCCTCAAAACAAATGTTAACTTCAATCCACCCTTTCATTTCTTTTCAGTGTTGATGCATTAAGCACTGTTGCTGTGAACATGCCAGTAAATAGAAATCAGGAACTTGGGGCTGTTCTGGTGGCATACCTGAAGCAATCCATACAGCAAATCAATCAAACAGGTGCGTTACTTCTCAGAACAGTCACGCTCCAACACAGTCAACGATTAACCCTCAAGATTCTTCAGCTCATTCCTAATTTCGTACTTTCAAAACAAAGTACTGATTTGTACTCTTGATATCATGCAGGCTGCAGAGTGAACAACCAGACAGATGCAGACTGGCTCACTGTTAATCTTGGCCACTTCTCCAGCTACTTGTCATTCTCTCAGCTGGCACAATTCAACATTTCTTGGGTAAGTCCCCGTCTCTGACAACAGTTTTCTCAGTCTCCTTTACGTAATCATTGAGACCACATTGTATTTACACAATAGCTAGGTGAAACCACTAACAGCTGGTCACTGTCATATTGCAGTTTGGATCTTTGGACCTGCTGACCCCTAGCCAAGCAGCTGAACTCACTCTGAGCTCTGGCGCCCTCAACAGCACAAGTCAGATTGACCTAGTGTTCAATCAACTACAGAAAGGCGATGCTTTCATGAACGTGCATGACTTTCTCACAGTCCTCTCTGATCAGAAGGTAATTGAGACACACTGAAACCTCTAGTACAGGAATCTTTACAAATACAGCAAACATTGATCTTGACAAATTATTCTGTATTCTTGGGCTGCTTTTCTACAGGCTCCTGTTATCAACCCTGCAGTCAGAGATGTGATGATGAATCGAACCTTCAAGATCATCAGCATGAAGTTTTCACAGTTTCAGACATACGACTGGTATGACTGGTTTAAGGTCAAGCTCATCTCTCTCCTGCCCAGTTTCACTGCAGAGATGCTCACTAATGCAACATTAGGCATCAGCTGTACCAACTACCACGTCATGTAAGTGATATTTTATATTTCATTATTCAAATTTTGCAGGCCTTCGTATGCAATGTTTTAAGGTCAGGAACCAAAAAAACAAAAACAAACCACGAACAGAATTCGACACAAAATAGGGAGTTGAATTAAGAACAGCATTGGAAGTCGCACTGGGTCAGGAAGACAATCACCTATTGGAGCAAGTATGGCACCTGAGACAACAAAAGGAACCAGGTCAAGGACAGGTTATGAAACCAAACTGAGGGTCAGGAATATGGTCTGTGTAAGGGTCAGGAATAGAAATTTCAACAGGATGAAAAAAGAGCCTAAATCACATATCAGAATGATGCTTGGTCAGGTAAATAATCAGCTCTGCCAGGGCCATGAATGAGAACTTGTTCAGGGTCAGAAGTGGAGTCTGGGTAAGGGTCAAAAGCAAAAACCATGGTAAGGGTCAGGAATGGAACTTAAGTCAGGAAATGGCCCCTTAACTATCAGCAGTGAAGACTAGGTTAGGTAAGGATCCTACTTAGGTCAGGGTCAAAAAACAATGTAATTCAAGGTCAGCGGCTGGAAATAATGTCAGAAAAAACTAGTACATATTCGAGCCTGATCAAGATGAGAAATGATACCTTGATCAGGATCAGAGAGGGACCTAATTAGACGTCAATGACAGGAATGAAGTCGGGACCAAGGGGTTTAGGAAATGTAAGAGTTTGTCACACGTGAAAATGCTTCATTTAGATTGAATCTTCTTGGACAAGGCAGTAAATCACTTCTGTCCAGAAAAGATGTTGAATTTGTTGCAAATTGTGTTTCAAATATGCTGTTTTAGATTGAGTAACTCAATGCCTCTATTAATGTCTCTCTGAGATTATTATTATACTGTATCATTAGCTTTAAACTTTACTACACTGGATCTTGACCTCTTTCTGTAAATATCAACTCAGTAGCATCAACTTTATCCCTGAAGTTCAGCCTTGCCTCAAAACAAATGTTAACTTCAATCCACCCTTTCATTTCTTTTCAGTGTTGATGCATTAAGCACTGTTGCTGTGAACATGCCAGTAAATAGAAATCAGGAACTTGGGGCTGTTCTGGTGGCATACCTGAAGCAATCCATACAGCAAATCAATCAAACAGGTGCGTTACTTCTCAGAACAGTCACGCTCCAACACAGTCAACGATTAACCCTCAAGATTCTTCAGCTCATTCCTAATTTCGTACTTTCAAAACAAAGTACTGATTTGTACTCTTGATATCATGCAGGCTGCAGAGTGAACAACCAGACAGATGCAGACTGGCTCACTGTTAATCTTGGCCACTTCTCCAGCTACTTGTCATTCTCTCAGCTGGCACAATTCAACATTTCTTGGGTAAGTCCCCGTCTCTGACAACAGTTTTCTCAGTCTCCTTTACGTAATCATTGAGACCACATTGTATTTACACAATAGCTAGGTGAAACCACTAACAGCTGGTCACTGTCATATTGCAGTTTGGATCTTTGGACCTGCTGACCCCTAGCCAAGCAGCTGAACTCACTCTGAGCTCTGGCGCCCTCAACAGCACAAGTCAGATTGACCTAGTGTTCAATCAACTACAGAAAGGCGATGCTTTCACCAACGTGCATGACTTTCTCACAGTCCTCTCTGATCAGAAGGTAATTGAGACACACTGAAACCTCTAGTACAGGAATCTTTACAATTACAGCAAACATTGATCTTGACAAATTATTCTGTATTCTTGGGCTGCTTTTCTACAGGCTCCTGTTATCAACCCTGCAGTCAGAGATGTGATGATGAATCGAACCTTCAAGATCATCAGCATGAAGTTTTCACAGTTTCAGACATACGACTGGTATGACTGGTTTAAGGTCAAGCTCATCTCTCTCCTGCCCAGTTTCACTGCAGAGATGCTCACTAATGCAACATTAGGCATCAGCTGTACCAACTACCACGTCATGTAAGTGATATTTTATATTTCATTATTCAAATTTTGCAGGCCTTCGTATGCAATGTTTTAAGGTCAGGAACCAAAAAAACAAAAACAAACCACGAACAGAATTCGACACAAAATAGGGAGTTGAATTAAGAACAGCATTGGAAGTCGCACTGGGTCAGGAAGACAATCACCTATTGGAGCAAGTATGGCACCTGAGACAACAAAAGGAACCAGGTCAAGGACAGGTTATGAAACCAAACTGAGGGTCAGGAATATGGTCTGTGTAAGGGTCAGGAATAGAAATTTCAACAGGATGAAAAAAGAGCCTAAATCACATATCAGAATGATGCTTGGTCAGGTAAATAATCAGCTCTGCCAGGGCCATGAATGAGAACTTGTTCAGGGTCAGAAGTGGAGTCTGGGTAAGGGTCAAAAGCAAAAACCATGGTAAGGGTCAGGAATGGAACTTAAGTCAGGAAATGGCCCCTTAACTATCAGCAGTGAAGACTAGGTTAGGTAAGGATCCTACTTAGGTCAGGGTCAAAAAACAATGTAATTCAAGGTCAGCGGCTGGAAATAATGTCAGAAAAAACTAGTACATATTCGAGCCTGATCAAGATGAGAAATGATACCTTGATCAGGATCAGAGAGGGACCTAATTAGACGTCAATGACAGGAATGAAGTCGGGACCAAGGGGTTTAGGAAATGTAAGAGTTTGTCACACGTGAAAATGCTTCATGGTCTTTAGATTGAATCTTCTTGGAAAAGGCAGTAAATCACTTCTGTCCAGAAAAGATGTTGAACTTGTCGCAAATTGTGTTTCAAATATGCTGTTTTAGATTGAGTAACTCAATGCCTCTATTAATGTCTCTCTGAGATTATTATTATACTGTATCATTAGCTTTAAACTTTACTACACTGGATCTTGACCTCTTTCTGTAAATATCAACTCAGTAGCATCAACTTTATCCCTGAAGTTCAGCCTTGCCTCAAAACAAATGTTAACTTCAATCCACCCTTTCATTTCTTTTCAGTGTTGATGCATTAAGCACTGTTGCTGTGAACATGCCAGTAAATAGAAATCAGGAACTTGGGGCTGTTCTGGTGGCATACCTGAAGCAATCCATACAGCAAATCAATCAAACAGGTGCGTTACTTCTCAGAACAGTCACGCTCCAACACAGTCAACGATTAACCCTCAAGATTCTTCAGCTCATTCCTAATTTCGTACTTTCAAAACAAAGTACTGATTTGTACTCTTGATATCATGCAGGCTGCAGAGTGAACAACCAGACAGATGCAGACTGGCTCACTGTTAATCTTGGCCACTTCTCCAGCTACTTGTCATTCTCTCAGCTGGCACAATTCAACATTTCTTGGGTAAGTCCCCGTCTCTGACAACAGTTTTCTCAGTCTCCTTTACGTAATCATTGAGACCACATTGTATTTACACAATAGCTAGGTGAAACCACTAACAGCTGGTCACTGTCATATTGCAGTTTGGATCTTTGGACCTGCTGACCCCTAGCCAAGCAGCTGAACTCACTCTGAGCTCTGGCGCCCTCAACAGCACAAGTCAGATTGACCTAGTGTTCAATCAACTACAGAAAGGCGATGCTTTCACCAACGTGCATGACTTTCTCACAGTCCTCTCTGATCAGAAGGTAATTGAGACACACTGAAACCTCTAGTACAGGAATCTTTACAATTACAGCAAACATTGATCTTGACAAATTATTCTGTATTCTTGGGCTGCTTTTCTACAGGCTCCTGTTATCAACCCTGCAGTCAGAGATGTGATGATGAATCGAACCTTCAAGATCATCAGCATGAAGTTTTCACAGTTTCAGACATACGACTGGTATGACTGGTTTAAGGTCAAGCTCATCTCTCTCCTGCCCAGTTTCACTGCAGAGATGCTCACTAATGCAACATTAGGCATCAGCTGTACCAACTACCACGTCATGTAAGTGATATTTTATATTTCATTATTCAAATTTTGCAGGCCTTCGTATGCAATGTTTTAAGGTCAGGAACCAAAAAAACAAAAACAAACCACGAACAGAATTCGACACAAAATAGGGAGTTGAATTAAGAACAGCATTGGAAGTCGCACTGGGTCAGGAAGACAATCACCTATTGGAGCAAGTATGGCACCTGAGACAACAAAAGGAACCAGGTCAAGGACAGGTTATGAAACCAAACTGAGGGTCAGGAATATGGTCTGTGTAAGGGTCAGGAATAGAAATTTCAACAGGATGAAAAAAGAGCCTAAATCACATATCAGAATGATGCTTGGTCAGGTAAATAATCAGCTCTGCCAGGGCCATGAATGAGAACTTGTTCAGGGTCAGAAGTGGAGTCTGGGTAAGGGTCAAAAGCAAAAACGATGGTAAGGGTCAGGAATGGAACTTAAGTCAGGAAATGGCCCCTTAACTATCAGCAGTGAAGACTAGGTTAGGTAAGGATCCTACTTAGGTCAGGGTCAAAAAACAATGTAATTCAAGGTCAGCGGCTGGAAATAATGTCAGAAAAAACTAATACATATTCGAGCCTGATCAAGATGAGAAATGATACCTTGATCAGGATCAGAGAGGGACCTAATTAGACGTCAATGACAGGAATGAAGTCGGGACCAAGGGGTTTAGGAAATGTAAGAGTTTGTCACACGTGAAAATGCTTCATTTAGATTGAATCTTCTTGGACAAGGCAGTAAATCACTTCTGTCCAGAAAAGATGTTGAATTTGTTGCAAATTGTGTTTCAAATATGCTGTTTTAGATTGAGTAACTCAATGCCTCTATTAATGTCTCTCTGAGATTATTATTATACTGTATCATTAGCTTTAAACTTTACTACACTGGATCTTGACCTCTTTCTGTAAATATCAACTCAGTAGCATCAACTTTATCCCTGAAGTTCAGCCTTGCCTCAAAACAAATGTTAACTTCAATCCACCCTTTCATTTCTTTTCAGTGTTGATGCATTAAGCACTGTTGCTGTGAACATGCCAGTAAATAGAAATCAGGAACTTGGGGCTGTTCTGGTGGCATACCTGAAGCAATCCATACAGCAAATCAATCAAACAGGTGCGTTACTTCTCAGAACAGTCACGCTCCAACACAGTCAACGATTAACCCTCAAGATTCTTCAGCTCATTCCTAATTTCGTACTTTCAAAACAAAGTACTGATTTGTACTCTTGATATCATGCAGGCTGCAGAGTGAACAACCAGACAGATGCAGACTGGCTCACTGTTAATCTTGGCCACTTCTCCAGCTACTTGTCATTCTCTCAGCTGGCACAATTCAACATTTCTTGGGTAAGTCCCCGTCTCTGACAACAGTTTTCTCAGTCTCCTTTACGTAATCATTGAGACCACATTGTATTTACACAATAGCTAGGTGAAACCACTAACAGCTGGTCACTGTCATATTGCAGTTTGGATCTTTGGACCTGCTGACCCCTAGCCAAGCAGCTGAACTCACTCTGAGCTCTGGCGCCCTCAACAGCACAAGTCAGATTGACCTAGTGTTCAATCAACTACAGAAAGGCGATGCTTTCACCAACGTGCATGACTTTCTCACAGTCCTCTCTGATCAGAAGGTAATTGAGACACACTGAAACCTCTAGTACAGGAATCTTTACAATTACAACAAACATTGATCTTGACAAATTATTCTGTATTCTTGGGCTGCTTTTCTACAGGCTCCTGTTATCAACCCTGCAGTCAGAGATGTGATGATGAATCGAACCTTCAAGATCATCAGCATGAAGTTTTCACAGTTTCAGACATACGACTGGTATGACTGGTTTAAGGTCAAGCTCATCTCTCTCCTGCCCAGTTTCACTGCAGAGATGCTCACTAATGCAACATTAGGCATCAGCTGTACCAACTACCACGTCATGTAAGTGATATTTTATATTTCATTATTCAAATTTTGCAGGCCTTCGTATGCAATGTTTTAAGGTCAGGAACCAAAAAAACAAAAACAAACCACGAACAGAATTCGACACAAAATAGGGAGTTGAATTAAGAACAGCATTGGAAGTCGCACTGGGTCAGGAAGACAATCACCTATTGGAGCAAGTATGGCACCTGAGACAACAAAAGGAACCAGGTCAAGGACAGGTTATGAAACCAAACTGAGGGTCAGGAATATGGTCTGTGTAAGGGTCAGGAATAGAAATTTCAACAGGATGAAAAAAGAGCCTAAATCACATATCAGAATGATGCTTGGTCAGGTAAATAATCAGCTCTGCCAGGGCCATGAATGAGAACTTGTTCAGGGTCAGAAGTGGAGTCTGGGTAAGGGTCAAAAGCAAAAACGATGGTAAGGGTCAGGAATGGAACTTAAGTCAGGAAATGGCCCCTTAACTATCAGCAGTGAAGACTAGGTTAGGTAAGGATCCTACTTAGGTCAGGGTCAAAAAACAATGTAATTCAAGGTCAGCGGCTGGAAATAATGTCAGAAAAAACTAGTACATATTCGAGCCTGATCAAGATGAGAAATGATACCTTGATCAGGATCAGAGAGGGACCTAATTAAACGTCAATGACAGGAATGAAGTCGGGACCAAGGGGTTTAGGAAATGTAAGAGTTTGTCACACGTGAAAATGCTTCATTTAGATTGAATCTTCTTGGACAAGGCAGTAAATCACTTCTGTCCAGAAAAGATGTTGAATTTGTTGCAAATTGTGTTTCAAATATGCTGTTTTAGATTGAGTAACTCAATGCCTCTATTAATGTCTCTCTGAGATTATTATTATACTGTATCATTAGCTTTAAACTTTACTACACTGGATCTTGACCTCTTTCTGTAAATATCAACTCAGTAGCATCAACTTTATCCCTGAAGTTCAGCCTTGCCTCAAAACAAATGTTAACTTCAATCCACCCTTTCATTTCTTTTCAGTGTTGATGCATTAAGCACTGTTGCTGTGAACATGCCAGTAAATAGAAATCAGGAACTTGGGGCTGTTCTGGTGGCATACCTGAAGCAATCCATACAGCAAATCAATCAAACAGGTGCGTTACTTCTCAGAACAGTCACGCTCCAACACAGTCAACGATTAACCCTCAAGATTCTTCAGCTCATTCCTAATTTCGTACTTTCAAAACAAAGTACTGATTTGTACTCTTGATATCATGCAGGCTGCAGAGTGAACAACCAGACAGATGCAGACTGGCTCACTGTTAATCTTGGCCACTTCTCCAGCTACTTGTCATTCTCTCAGCTGGCACAATTCAACATTTCTTGGGTAAGTCCCCGTCTCTGACAACAGTTTTCTCAGTCTCCTTTACGTAATCATTGAGACCACATTGTATTTACACAATAGCTAGGTGAAACCACTAACAGCTGGTCACTGTCATATTGCAGTTTGGATCTTTGGACCTGCTGACCCCTAGCCAAGCAGCTGAACTCACTCTGAGCTCTGGCGCCCTCAACAGCACAAGTCAGATTGACCTAGTGTTCAATCAACTACAGAAAGGCGATGCTTTCACCAACGTGCATGAGTTTCTCTCAGTCTTCTCTGTTCAGAAGGTAACTGATACACACTGAAACCTCTAGTACACAAATCATGACAATTACAAAAAACATTGATCTTGACAAATTATTCTGTATTCTTGGGCTGCTTTTCTACAGGCTCCTGTTATCAACCCTGCAGTCAGAGATGTGATGATGAATCGAACCTTCAAGATCATCAGCATGAAGTTTTCACAGTTTCAGACATACGACTGGTATGACTGGTTTAAGGTCAAGCTCATCTCTCTCCTGCCCAGTTTCACTGCAGAGATGCTCACTAATGCAACATTAGGCATCAGCTGCACCAACTACCATGTAATGTAAGTGATATTTTATATTTCATTATTCAAATTTTTCCAGGCTGTTGTATGCAAATTTTAAAGTCAGGAAGCAAAGAGTAACCGAAACACAGACAAAACTGGACAAAAAAACAGGGAGCTGAACTTTGAAGAGAACTGGAACTTGCTCTGGGTCAGGAAGACAATCGACTGTTGAATTGAAAGATGTTGAATTTGTTGCAAATTGTGTTTTAAATATGCTGTGCAGATTGAGTGTCTCAATGCCTCTATCAATGTCTATCTGACTTTACTACACAGGCGTCTTGACCTCTTTCTGTAAATATCAACTC